CCAAAAACAGATACCGTATCTCAGATGGGAATCGATGAGAGCAAAGCACACATTTTTTGCCATATTAGTGCCCAATTCATTTGCTAATACTCTGACTGCAAAGCATCCTGATGAAATTTTTTTACATAGGTTATTTATGTGACCTTCAAAATCCAAATTTTTATCAATTTGTAATCCCAGAAATTTTGCTGATATTTTATTTTCTATTAATTGAGTACCCAGGTAGATATCTACTGTGGAGCACTTGAGGGTGATGATGCTAGTTTTTGAGATATTAAATGAGATTAGCATCACACCAGTCTTTTATTTTTATAATATCCATGCTGATCAAATCATGCAGTTCCCTTTTATTCCTGCAATGCCAAAATAATGTAGTGTCATCAACGTATTGGGTTATTTCTGCTGTTATATTAATGCGGCTAGTTTATAATATATAACAAGAAGAGAATTGGGCCTAGAACCGAGCCTTGTGGAACACCACAAGTAACTGGGATATGGGAAGATGGGATATGTTGTCCGGGAGTTTGACCTTCTGAGTACGTTCTGACAGGTATGATCTGAATCATTTCAAAGATATATCTCTAAAGCCATACACTTCTAGTTTTTGCAGCAGAATTTCATGATCCACGCAATCGAAAGCTTTTGATTGATCGCAAAAAACTGCCGCTGCTATTTCACGATTATTTAAATTGATATACACGTTTTCCAGTAGATGAAACATAGCATCTTCCGTGTTTTTCAAACTCTGAAACCCAAACTGACTACTACTAATAATATTATGCTTTTTCACAAACATCATAATTCTTTGTTTAACAAGTTTTTCTATGATTTTAGCAAGGGTAGGTAGCATAGAAATATGCCTTAAGTTGGCAGGATTGTTAGTGTCGCCTCCTTTGTGCAAAGGAATAACAATTGCTGTTTTTGAACATGCCGGAAATACACCCGTTATGAAGCTTGAATTTATAGCTTCTACCAAAGCGGTGATAGCGGAGTTGGGCGACTTGGTAAATACTTTTATGCTCATGTCATCCCAACCAGCCGAGTTTAAATTTTCAATTTCTTCAAGAATTTTTTTAATTTCCATAACATCTACAATATAAACCGAACATACATGCGAAATTTCAGTCTAAGAAAAATATACCGGCACGAAGAAACAGTGATGCGCCCCTTTTACCCCTACGGGGGTGGCCTCAGTTGGAATATTTGAAAATTTCTAGGACTGACCAGTACGGAGAAACAGAGATGAATGAGTGAGTGACTTTTGCATTTACTAGTAATGATTGGACAAACTTTGTAACTCTTACACATACTAAACGCTCCGACTAGATATATATTCCGGAATTATCTCCAAATTTTGTAAATAAAAAAATGACGCCTTCCTACGACACCTCTCAGAAGCCGAAATTTGTGAGAGCTGAGGAGGCCCTATCATCAAATATGCAGCTTCTATAACTACTCACAGTGACTTTGTTGAAAACCGAACTTATACGAAGTTTGAAGGGATTTAGAGTTTCAAGGAAACTTTGAACAACATCAAGTTTTCTGAATGGGAAACTATCTTCTGATTTTTTTTCTGATATGAGATTTATTTCTGATGCAGTTGTGTTATCTGCTACGAAGTGGTTTGATTTATTTGATGAAATCTTACATGCAATGTGGTATATCTTTTGAGGGATCTCTAGCAGTGCCAGTTTCTTTCAAGCAGTATTAGTTCTAAGAAAATGTGCGCTTCGATATTTGGCCCAGACAAAAGGTACAGATTTTTATAAGTTGGTTGAAACTGGTCGATCGATATCAAAACTTACTAATGCACTTTATTGTGACTTTCATCATGAAAGGTTTATGAAACCGCGACACCTGTTTCGCTATACAATAGCTTCCTCAGGTGAGAATGATAAATAACTCTTACAGTATAACCATTTTATGCCCTAAGAACATTGGCTTATACCAATCAGATGATTGATTCTATGCTAGGTTCAACTTTACTTGAAAAGGCGGTTATAATCCTTAAGTCGCTAGTAATTTTATCAGATACATACTTTATCCAAAGTGACCTCTCTTGCCGAAGAAAGTAACTCAGAACCTCAAAACTTCACTGTTATGTGGGTTAAAATGATCACAAGTCGAGTTTATTGACTTACAACCGACACGCAATACAGCGAACTATTTTCTTCACTTCGCTTCGATTTTTCGCAAACCAATCATTCCGGCTTAAATGTACACAATAATTACTTGCTTACTTTTTCAAACATCAATGATTGTGTAAGGTCGCGCAGAATCTTCAAGATCATTTCTAGACGTTCGTTTCAAATCTGAGGATCCCTTTACATGTACTTCTGAAAAGTACCAATGAAGCGATTTTTCAACGACAAATCATACTTCAACAAGAGTTGCAAGAAAGGTGTCGCCTTCAAAGGCCACATATTCAATTTTTTTTCTGATGCTGACGATAGCTTAATGATTTTTCTCAGACAAACTTCATTAATGTATGAAAATAACAAATATTTTTTCTCTTTGCATTTTTTTGCAAAAATTAAATCTATACTAATATAAATGTGAAAGTTTGTGAGGATGGATGTATGTATGTATGTATGTNACCTTATTCCTCCTTCTTTGACACTATCCACTTCAATAATCAACATTTTTCCAATAATAATGTTAAAAAATGTACGGAGCTGCTTTTTGGTTACATATCTCTGTATTTTACATTTTTAAGGTTAATGGCATGGTTGGTACGACTGATGCAGTCCATTTTCCTAAAGTAATTCAAATGTTTTTTACCTTCATTCTTTAGATCGTAAATTGGTTTTTGGTGGTGTATTACGAATAGTTTATTTTGTGAAAAAGAAGGCTGAAAAGTTGCCCTTTTCAGAACTTTGAAGGGCCGTAACTTTGTGAATAAGGGAGAGCACCGCTTTTTTCTTTGGGATTCGTAGTCTACGCATCAAAATACGTAAGTACACTCAAAAATTTTTTCAAAATCGTCGGGTTTCCTCAAAACGAAAATTTACCCTTGATGTGACAAACCAAATTCTACGCGGGCAAAGCCGCGGGCAACAACTAGTGTTGAAATATTTTGAACTCTTCTGTGAGAAATTATCACAATGTTGATTCTAGTTTCGTAAATAGAAATCTCCCGAGGACATCTCAAGGTACCTTGCTCATTGACCGATGAAATTGTTTTTCATATACAAATCGTCGTGCGAATTACAAACCAAAGCATGTGATCGAAAGTTTTCGAAGTTGGCTCGTCAAATTATTTCAGAAATATTATTATTTTCCAGTTAGCAACTTCGATTTTAAGGAGTAATATCCAAGAATATAGAACGCCAGGGAAAATTTCATTTCCGATAATTTACTCAAACTTCTGCCATCCAATTTTGTGCTTCCAATCTCAAAGCTCGGAAAAATCTCTTTTTCGTTATGGATGTTATCATTTCTTCAACTTTCGAATTTTCAGATATTTGCTCTATATTCTCATGACCATCAAAAAAGAAATTGTCATTGCTCTTTCTGTGAATACGAATAGTTGTATAGTCGAGTATTCTGAACCGAATTCTCTAAAGGAATAATTCGTTTAGGCCAGTCTTCCCTCACCTACACAGTAGGTTCATGGACTGACACTATCAGAAAACAACTACTCCCCTGACTAATACCACGAAAGTCTTTAGATCATATCCTACAAGTGTCAGTGCAGGATTCTTCACAGAAGTAACTGGGTTAATACCTTTCCAAATACCTTACCAAAATACTTTTCAAATATGCTCAGCTACAAAGTATTTGGAAGTTATTATAGGCCCTCACTTGAGATGGAATTTTCATATAAACTATCTAGTGGAAAAATTAAGAAGCATCTTATTTAAGTTCCGGCAACTCAAAGACATCCTGGATCAGAAGGAGAAAATGAAGATATATTTCAGCCTTGTGCAAAGCCACTCGCATTATTGAATTATTGGCAAGAGGAGGAGTGTCCAAAACCCACTTGTACTCACTAGAAATTATCCAGTGAAAATTCATAAAACTGATGCTGAATAAATCACCAGGATATAACAGTGACGAATTATATAAAGAATCAGAAATATTCGATGTAAGGCAACTGTTTTTCAAAACCCTTGCATTGCATCAATATAAAGAAAAGGCAAAACTCACCAAGTAAAAACATTGGAAGAATATTCGACCAAAATTATTAAGTACGGATTACATGTTTATTATACACCCCAAATCCTTTTTATTCCCACCATTTCAATAGCTCTGTCACCGCAAAAATGTAAATACTTACCTTTTGCTTTTTTTATACATCACACTAAACTTATATTTCCATGTAACACAAATATTATTTTAAATGTTGAATATTTTATATGTACTTATTTCAGAATCCTTTTTTTTTTCATTTTAGTGTTCCAATAAGAAGAAAGTGTTGAATCAAATTGGGTTTCGTCACGTAGTAACACCTTTTGCTATTTCTGTGGCTTTTTTTAATGTCTTAATGTTTATTGTTCATTTGCTGAATGTATACTTTTGTTTCTTGTAATTGTTTATTATATATGTGTGTATGTGAGTAGACGTATGCGCATATCAATAAATTAGATATTCATATTTGGAGTTATTTTATCTACTCACATCACCTCAATCATATACACTATTCTGTACTTTTTCTTAGTGAATAAACATGATTATTATTATCATCAAATTGTGTCAAAGCTCTTTTCGCGTACTATTGAATGATACCAAAAACTTTACTCTAACTTTCTGGATTCCGAAGATATACAAAAAAAAGAAAACTTTGCAATTATGTTACGTCAGTAAGTCGATTCAATCAATAACAATTAATTTTCATCAATCTGCAACACGTTTCAACCAAAAATCTAATACCATATTATGAAGAAACGATAAAGAGTGTTAATGGAAAATTTCATATATTAATGAAAGTTATCTTTCCATGATAGTGGATTTATCACTTCTTGTTATTAAACCTCACAAAATTATCATTTATTTCTTACCTCTGTCCCTTGAACCTTCAGCTTCATATGGTCTTCTCTGGTAGTTTTTCCGTCTTTCCTCTTTTTCCAACAATATCCGTCCCTGCGATAACGAACCTTTTTTCTGCTGTATAACAACATCGAACCACTCTTGGGCCTGAAACAAAGAAAAAATCGCGTTACATATGTTCGAACTCGGACATGGTGAACATTCACGACCATTTCATATCCCAATTCGGTCATCGCATGCGTTCGAAATTAGAAACCCTTTTTTCTGAATACAAACAGTTGAAACAAAAACGGATTTCACAACTTCCTATATCATGTACGTATGTATGAATGTGGCAATAAAGCAATCGTCATTTCAGCCGATCGAATTTGTACGAAAAATAAAGCAATCTAAAAACCAGTCGATTTGAAACTATTACATGTGCTAGTTGAAGCGAAAATGCAAATATATTCATGGGAACATTTGTTTGTTCGTAAAACGAATACATCTCGAATAGAAAAGTGCATTTTCCAATTTGTTTCATTGCCATGAAAAGTTTCGAATTCTTACAGACAAGTGTAAAATTTCAATTCATATTCATATGATTCCGGTTATGATTCCTAATCCACCCTGAGATTGAAAGCACCAGAGATACTTCGGAATCCTTGAAAACGGATGATATATTGGTGCTTCGAACTAGACGTTTTTCCGGTTGATCATTATTAACAACGAACATTTTGAATTCTCTTGATGAGAAAAATATTCGTTCTCGCATAATGGTTTGTTATGAAAATTGCCGAATATTCTTCCCTTGTGAGTAGGTAGCTCATTAGGAGCGTGAAATGAAGCGATTGATTTTCAGCAGATGCTTTTTATTTTGGAGGCGAGCTGATATGAGCTATGAGTAAAACAATTCGTAAAGCTATTGCACCTTTTTATGTATATTTTTTAGTTTCGAAGATTTTGAAAAACGTGTTACAATGAGCCTTTTTCTTGAAGTACGAAAAATCACACACTAGCAGCGCTAGTGGTTCGGTAGGGACAAACACTGCCTAATCCTCAAATAAACGCATGGTAAAGTACAATTAAAAAAGAATGTGTTTAACAGAAGAAGATGTTGACGGAGCAAAACTAAAATTTGCAACTGTAAATGATAACAATGTTGTAACATTAAAACGTTGGCTTGCATGCCGCAATTTAAAAGTAACTGAAAAAAAAGTGAATTAATAGACAGATTAGTATACAGACTCTGGTAAAAGAGTAGTGGTACATTCAAACTGTAATAAAAGAAATTTAAAATAATTATGAATTTCAGATTTAATCCCGAGTGAAATTTCAATCAAATATGGATGGTAATAAATTCAATGAAATATAATAAATGACTATAATTTAATAAACGATTGAGATTATACCTCATTCTAATCATTGGTAATTAACTATGAAAAATTTACTATTCATTTCATGTTTAGAGCATACATATGAATATTTATTTATTTTTTGCACTGTTAAATCCACTCTCCTACCATTTTAACTCCCAACAAACGAATTAGAAAGTGGAATCGTCTGACCTGACATCATTGTATGCGGTTTGGAGACATTTATCTTTTTGGAAAAAAGCGATGCCTGGGTTTTTGTGGCATTGAATTGTACGTTATTTACACCCCGATTCGAAATTACTTTTAGATCCTCATTAAGGTATGCAACCTCCTGCTGCCAGTGAATATGTGCATTATCCGCCGATGTCCTGGAATCCAAATGGAATGACGAAACAAGTGTGCTGTCGTCAGCAAAGCAATATATTGGATTCTTGGTTGGTTAACAACTATCAAATTATGAATTTCTGTGAAAAATGAAGAGGTCGTTTTATATTTTTTTGCCTCGTGAACTTCAAGAGTTTCAAAACGTTTTGTTGAATCGATGAGAAACGCATTGTTCGAATTTGGAACATTCACAATGCGTCTTGTACTTCCACTTTCTGCAACGTATCTGATCTCTTCACATTTTACTCTCACTTGCTTAGGAAGCATGATCCCCAGACATGGTGAAGGATTCCTTCCTCGGTGCGTTGGATACACTGGGTTACGTTTTGACTTTTTCCTGAAGAATGCAGATTATCAAAGAGGGTCGTTTTACCATATACAACCTATAGTTTTTTCAGAGCTCTCACAACTGTTTTCGACTTGTCCTGATTCCATAAAGGGAGACACTGGAATTCTTCCAAGAATAATCAATCATCGACTAGGCAAATCCAAGTTTGTGGGCGATTACAAGCTATTACATAGCGGACTCGCATAATCCCCTATTGACAAACTTTAGACTCATCTAATCGAACTTCAATATTCCACGACGAATTATCCTTGAAAGAAGCCTCCGAATTCACAACAAGATCAGCGAAACTATGTCCCGATGAAAATTTTCTGAAATCCTTCCAACATTTATTCCTTTAATCCATCCAAATTGAATATCTTCATCGAGACGCCTACGCCCCGGTTTCAAGTAAGCCATATCTAGTTTCGTAAACGTCTGCAAGAAAGTTTTGAATCCGAATTTGGGCTTAACGCTTCTCGATTTTAATTGCGATCAACTTGTAATTGCAATCTGAATGCAATGTGGCTTTGTTCTTCACGGGATTAATTAAAACAACTTTAATTATAACCGGTTTATTAGCCAAGCGAAGTGTTTTATTTCGAAACCCCTTGGCTTGGACACTTCCATTGTAGTGACGGATCGTTTCAACTAGTGGTTAGGGATCCAGTTTATGCAAAACCGAAACACTGTTTGCTCGAAGACTATAAATGAAGTCATCCGCTGAAACATAGGTACACAACAAAACTAATTTAACCCGATCAAGTTACCAACTTACTTGATATATGCGCTCAATACACTGCATCGATGTTCTGTCCCGAAAAATGATTTGGTTTTGTTCATCTTCTAAGATTATTGTATGAACAATATGCGTGTGTAACATTTCTCGAAAAAGTATGTCACAATAACAGGTTCTTCGAGTGTATGTTGTAGTGAAACGGATAATCACGAAAACCTGCAATAGGTGTAGTGAAGACTACAACATTTTTGAAATATAGATACTATGAGGGTTGGTTAGAATGTAGAGTTGGATGTTAAAGGTATTAAGGAGCAGTGAGAGTAAGGCAGAAGAGGTTCCATTGATCTTTTTGAAAATGTTTGCTATATGGAAAAATATGTAATCAAATTGATACAGGCGTACCTGAAGAGGATAATCTTCTAGTTCTAACGGATGAGTTACTGCGTAGAACTGCAATACTTTCCTAAGAAAGAATGCTGTTTCTCAGAATTTTATGAGTAGTTATCTTGAAATTTCGAAAACTAAATACTACCTTCAATATCAGAATTTAAAAGAAAATTATCTTTAGCAGTTCGTTCTCATCAAACACGCTTGAAAAATAGTTTATTTTCAAATCCAATGCAGTTTCTATAGATCGGCTTGCATTAACGAATCGTATGTATGTTTCTACGAATTATAATCACGGCAAAGGCAACTTCTTTAATATAAAAGTATTCCAAAAAAATTATTATATTGATTTCTACAGGAACTTTTCTCAGTTGCAAGTTTCATCTATTTCCGGGAATAATTGACATATGAAAATCAGCGCATACAAAATCGTACATGTTCATTTATTCCAGCAAATAGATGAGTAGAAGAACAGTTCAGCAATTATTTGCATAGCTATGAAAATTGAACTACGCCTTTTACTATAAATTTATATAGTGTGTAAAAGCCAAATGGAATAACTTCATTATTTCTGTTGCTTCACATATTAAAAAAAATTCTGAAACACGTCGAATGTAAATTATAATTTGATATTCTTCAACGTAATGAAAGCTTGTTTTGAAAGTATTTTATCATTATTTTATTTTATATGTTTCAGTTTCAATCGATAGTTATCGATCAATACGAAAGTCTATTAATAAAACGGAGAGTCCTTCAACGGAAAAACTTAAAGGAACGGGGAAAACTATTATTAGGATAAACTATATTCTATAGCAGTAGGTAGGTACCTACTCCTCCAGCATACCTTATAGAAGAATTAGCTTGTTATATTTCTATTTCTATATTTCTATTCATTTCATTGATGGCGTCATTATTACATGGCCGAGTGTCGGTTAATTTCGAAAAGTCTAATTCTTCTATCAGGAGGCCTTTGGCGTTTTAAGTTAACGCTTTCATTGGCAGGTTTCTCATTTTGTTTCAATTTTTCTTTCTCTAACCTTTTCCTTTGTGTTGATGTTTCTTTATTTCCCATGGTGTTTCCACGAGTACCAAAGAAATATTTGTCAACCGTCCCAGAGTTTCTTTTAGCAGGACTAGAGCGAATATACAACAGGGTGCGCTCCAGTGCCCCGAGGTGGTACGTTCACGACATCATTTTACACCCTGATTCCACTCAGTCCTCGTCACAGAGCCTCACCCTGACTTGGGTAGTAATTTGGTGAAAGATGCGCTACTTTTTTCAGCTTAGAGCTTCCTCGTGCCTGACAAAACACCGTTCTGGGTTTGATTTTGGAGTTTTACTTCTCCTCAACGGGTTACAGACCAATGCTAATGACGCCCATCTCACAAATTACACAAGTCATGGTATGCCTCTTGTGTCTGTTGCTCACATTGCGTGATGGACCTCCTTACTCTGGGAACTTAGAGGGTGGTAGATAAAAATATGTTTTTACAACGCAAATAAATATGGGTTCTTACAACCCACTACATCATTAATTGCCTTCTTTTTAGAGTTGGGAAGTAGGTATTTGAAGGTAAAAGCTTTTTTTCTAGAAATATATATTTTTTATTGAAGCCAACCCTGGATGTGGCATCTATTTCATGATGTGTCTACCAACTGCCTATCATAAACGAATGCGTATACAAAATTTCGTGTCCCTGCTATTTACCGCTGCTATCTCCCGTACGGAGCCGATCGTGGCAGCAGCATCAGGTCACATCTATGATTAACATGCATTGTCATCGGTTCTGGACCTGTATGCAAAATTTCAGGTCAACCGGATATCGGGAAGTAGGCCAAATTAAACTTGCAAGATTTGTTAACACACATACAAGTCAAGTTGAATAAAAGCTTTTAAAAAATGCCATCCTTTTGAATGACATGTACAATCCCCCAATTTTTCAAATGGGTACAAAGTAAAGGTTTGTGATATATCGTTTGAAAGGTCTCTTCATTCTCTATTCAAAAATGTTATCGCTTTCAAGTTTACCTATAGCAACAATTAAGATGAAATAAATTAAAATTATGTGCTTATCGAAATTTGATAAAATACACTCAAAAACTAAAATGAAATGCAAAACGTAATAAAATGTAGAATAATAAAAAACTATGGATGTTGACGAAGTAGATGCTCAAAATGTTCACCGCGAACATCTTGGCAACATCTTACTCTCGAATAAAATTGTCTTCTAACATTATTTAATATATCAGGCGTGACCGACCTAATCGCAATCGTTATTCATTCTTTTAAGGTGAAAGATCAGGTGATCGCGCTGGCCATTCAATCGATCCTCGCCTCCCTATTCACCGATTGAGAAATGTTGTAGCGAGGTATTGCCGGACATTAACTTGGTAATGTGGTGGTGCTCCATCCTGCTGAAACCATTTCGTATTCACTGGAACTTGAGGATTTTCTGGATCAGGATATAAATTTGCTTAACTTGAAATGACATCAATTTGAAGTAGTGCCAAATAATTATCGCCATTCAAGTTGCCCTCAATGAAAAAGGGACCAATGATATAATTTCCTACAATCCCTGCCCAAACATCAACCTTTTGAGGATATTGTGTGTGTTTTTTTCTCATCCAGTGAGGATTTTCCGTTGACTTAGCGTAGCGGCAATTTTGCCGATTAGCATGACCGTTAAGAGACAAAGTACACTCATCAGAAAACATAACGTCTTCTAATTGCTTCATTTGCCTACAAAAATAAGTTCTTTTATCAAAATCGTCTTCCATGAGCTCCTGACTATGTATCATTTCATAGGGATGCATTTGTGTTTTTTTAATATGTTTACTATCGATGTATGGGTAACATTGAATGTAGTGGATGCCTGTTTACTCGATGTATGTGAGTTTTCCTCAAACTCAGGCATCACATCTAACTTGAGTTCATCACTCATTGTATTGGCAGCTGCTTTTTTCATTTGCCCCACATGACCAAGCTCGCGAAACTGCTTTTCTATTTTGCTTATTGTTCTTCGAGATATGGGCGGTATATTAGGAAATTTCTCATGAAATAGGCGAGCTACTTCGTGTTGTGTTCGGGTTTTATCTCCGTAACCAATCATTTGTAAAACTGTTATTTTATGTATTTCCGTTAATCTAACCATTTGTCAGACTTGAAGTTAACGAACTTTAAACTTAAATTGAAATACTGACAACTAATGTTGTAACATACAAAACAAGTTGAAAAGGCGTTTTAAACTAACGTTGCCACGGAAATTATTTACAGTTGTTTATAGGATACCATCTGAAAAGAACATTGCTATTGTTTTTGCTCATTTTCTTATTATCAGTACCTCGACATGAAATAAGTTTTGGGTATATTGCAATAAGTTTTGAGTGTATTTCATCGAATTTNATCACATGGAAGAAGAAAGAAGAGGCCTGGAAAAGAGTTGAATTTGATTTTAATTCCTCTACATCAGGACCTGTAAGTCTCTACCTCATCTAATTCTTTGAAAGCATCATTACGTTCATTAACAATGTAAGGTCTTCTTTGAACTCCAATATATCCTCATCTTCGTCATTCAACAAATGGAAAACTTCTTTAATCAAACAATTATAGTAATTAACCCTTTACTTGCAAAAAGTATTTCTCAAATTATCACAAAAAACATAAATAACCTAATTTCGCATGCGCGACCACATAACCACAGAATATCGGAACTGATATTCTGTGACATAACTGTCAGCTTAAATAAAAAAACTATCACTTTCTAGCGACTGTTACGGTCACTGAGACTTTAGCTACCAGTTGATGGTAACATGATAACGAAAAACAGTTTGACTAGGAGCTAAGACAAAACCATTAGTCAAATGAGGTTAGCTGGCGATTGATAAACCGGCCCTTACTCCACCAAAATAATTCTACAAGCTTTTCCATGCAATGATATTATATTCGTCTCATTTCATTTTATTCTGAGATGTAGTCCCCAAAAATTATCATACATCGCCACCTATGCATTTTCTAGTTATCTTTCACTAGGTATCAAGAAGTTTTATTTGGAATTTAATATAACTTTTATGTAGACACTATTACTTCTATAATTGCGGAATAACGAGTAACATTTTACAGAGATGGTTTGTCCAAGTGGTGCGCTTCAAGGGTTTGTTTTATAGCATTGTTATCGTGTGAAGAGAATGAAAATTCTTCACTTTTATGACAATAAACGACGTTGAAACTGTTGCTAGTTAGTGTTACGTTCAACTAATGGCGAGATATTAAAAATTTAAGAATTCTGTTGAGAACTTCTATTCGTGCAATCCCAAAGAGACGCCATTTTTGAAACAATGTAAATATGAGACGAATGAGGTGATGCAGCGTTGTACAAAAATACAGTGAAACCAACCAAAAACAAAAATTCATTTTTGTTAAATTTTGTTCATGAAAGTACACTTCATAGTTAATTGATCGCCCACTACCAAATTTTTTTCTTCGACTCATCGGAACTGAAATCTGAGAAAATGTTGAATCGAATCTTGTACTTGTACCGGGCCTTCCAACAGGGACTTCCGAACTGACAATTGATAAAGGCAATCTTGTTGCAACTACATCTGTCAAACTAGTTGTCAAATTATCTAACGGAACAATTCGTTCAGGCCAGTCTCAACTCCCTACACTGTAGGTTAATGGACTGACACCTATCAGAAAATAACTACTTACTTGGCTAATACCACGAAGGGCATGGGATGGGAGGTTCTTGAACTATTGGT